CGTTATGCCAATACAAAGGATCTTTTCTAGCTTTGGAGTGAAATATATTTACCTCCCTTCAATTTTATTGAGATTGAAGAGAACTTCTTTATATTGCCTCCTTCACCTGGTGGAAGGAGAATGAAGTTTGAATGCGTGAAAGAGTAACGGCTTAGGTGGTTTGGAAATTTTACAAAAAGTAATTCTAAACATCAAAGGCAAATTCTTTTTACTTTTTTTTTTGTCTGAAAAAAGAATTTCCTTTTTTCTATTATTCACATGTATTCTCTTATTAAATGCAATCTTATTCAAGACATAATGGAGCAATAAATTTGGATATCTCTATTAATTTGAGGATTTAAATATTGGTTCATCACATTATAAAAACCTAGTTTCCTTCACTAACCTAATCTTGTTGATAAAAAGAAAAAGAACAAAAATTCATTTTGATCTTTAGAATCACTTTTTCTAAATAGATTCAAATTAAAGTGATATACAATGTGGGATGAATGATACTGAATAGAACCATTCAATTCAAATAATTAGTGATATAGAGAAATTACCATTATACCCTTAAAAAAATTAAGGGTCATGGTCTATTTTTTTCCTCTTGTCTTCTTCTTCCCGTTGATGCGTCTCAGATAGCGAGAGCGAGCAAATAAAACCATTCAGGTCCAGAGCTTCCACATTCCTACCTTCGCATTGCCGTCCCTGGTCACTGTATAGTTGCTGGTTCTTCTTCCCTTTCCTGTTTCGCCGCTGCGAATCTGGTACGGAAGCTCTGTTCTTTCTTTTTTCTCCTTATGTGTTAATTGTTTATATGTCTAATTAATCCACTAATTAAACCCTTGAATAGATCCTATTTTTGAAGCTGCCTCTCTGTCTCTCGACTTCCATGAACTTGATGACAATCCCACCATGGAAGTACCATGTCTTCTTGAGCTTCAGGGGAGAAGACACCCCATTACACGCTGCTCTAAAACAAAAGGGTATCATAACTTTCAACGATGATAAGCTCGAGAACGGAGAGGTTATTTCTCACCACATCATTCAAGCAATTGATGAATCTCTAATCTCTCTTGTTATTCTTTCCGAAACATATGCTTCTTCGAGTTGATGATTGGATGAACTCCTAAGGATTCTTGAATCTAAAAAATCTCTGGGTAGAGAAGTTATCGCAGTCTTCTATAAGATTGATCCATCTGATGTACGTCATCAGAGAGGTACCTTTGCCTGCGCCTTTGTGAAACATAGTCAGAGATTTGCTGAAAGCAAACAGAAGGTGCAAAGATGGAGAGACGCCTTGGAAGAAGTTGCAAATATATCTGGCTACGACTCTACAAATCAGTAAGTTTTGCATACTTAGATATTTCCAATATTTGGAATGATTTTGAGACGTATGTGACACTCTTTATATTGTTACAAATTTCTATCTCAAATCTCCTGTTTTCTTGTAGTGATGTACTAGTTATAATTAATGATATTGTTGGAAGAATTTAATTTAAAGCTTAAATTTCAAAATTAAATATTAAAATTTTTAATTAATTAGTAGTTTAAGTATACATTTAGTCCTTTAATTTTATATAATATTTTATTTTAGTCCCTTAACTTTATAAAGTGTTTTTTTAATCCTTTAACCCTAACAGATTAACACTAATTTTTACACTGAATTTTTAAATATTGATAAAATATTCTTAAATGTTGACATGTTAAGTATAATTTTTTTAAAATAACGATGATTGATATAAAAAATAATTATTTAAAATTAATAATGTTAGGATTAAAGGACTAAAAGAGACTTAACAAAATTAAAGGATTAAATTGAAATTTTATATAAAGTTAGAGTATTAAAATATAGTTTAGCCTTAATTAGTTTAGTGATTCTCTCATTTATTAATTGCATATATTTAACCAGGGGGGAATATATGGTCAGCCCATCAGTGGGCGCCAAAAAAATTATAAATAAAAAAAACAGCCCTTAATTTCTCCTTACAATTGCATTTTTAACCTTTTGTTTCTTTAAGCAAAAAATAAACAAAAATAAAAACGAAAGAACAATGTTTAAAGAGCATATTTTCAACCTGAGTTCTTTTGATAGTTAGAGCGTTGCCCCAGTCGGGTTGAGCACTATGCTGCTCATCACATGATGAATAATCGGAATCATTTAAATTTTTAATTTAAAAAATTTAAATGGTCAGAATTTACAGATTTTAAATAAAAATTATAAATAATACTTTTTTCATTGAAAAATGCAATATATTTTTAACTGAATCTCACCCTCAATAACATAATTACTTATTTGTAAACTAACTCTATCTTTTTATATTTACTTTTATTTAATAAAGAATTTCACCCTAAAAAAATATAAACTGGAGAAATTTAAAAAAAAGAAATAATTACACTTTAAAAAACACAAAATGTCTTACATTTTTTAACATTGAATTCCTTTTAATATTAAATATTTTTATATTTTTATAAATTAATTATCTATATGTACTCTAGGCAATCTAGATTTTTAAGTTGTAGCTATTTCTTAAATTTTTTTAAAGTATCAGTTTGAAGATTATTTTTATTTTTAATATTATATTTACTAAAATAAAAATTTATAAAAATTATAAAAAATTTAATATTAAATTCAAACTGTTCAGAATATATCTGGATAGTTAATTTATAATTTTTATATTAAATTAAATTATTTAAATTAAATTTATATTATTTATAATAATGATAAGATAGATTTATTAAAATATTATATTTTTATATTAAATATAAAATAAAAATATAAAAATAAAATCCTAGCATTTGGATTGTACGATGCTCATCAAACGATGGGCATCGAAAGCCAATCGCGTGGCTATACGTACACAGAGCACCCGCGCATGCATACACCCAGACGCGCACGCAAAGATACACACACGCGTGCACATGCACGCCAAGTAGTCATATACCTTAACTGTACAATGGAAGTTTTGGAACATGGGATAAAGGTCTGCCATAAAAACCAACGCCGCCATGGATATTTCATCACTTTTGTGTGTCAGTGTGTGTGTTATTTCTTTTCACTTGATTGTTCTTCTATAGATCTTATTGATATTCTGCCATCAATTAATTTTCCTGCCTTCCTAAGCTAAACATTATAGCAGTAGCAGCTTTATTCCATAATTTTTTTTTTGGTATTTTTAACTTAATGCCATTTTTTTCTCGACCACCAAGTGAAAAATCGTGAAAACTACAATCTGATCATCTAATTGTACATAGCTGGCAGTAATTTGTAATACTACCTCAGTTCCAAGGCCGTATGAACTGTCAGGCCTATGAGGCAATCACCTTAGGCCAAAAAACCAATATTTATCTATATTTTATGTGATCGTTCTTTATATTTTTCATTAAGTATTAATGTTTATTATATATTTTTATTTAAAAATTGGAGTATTAATGTTTTGCTTAAAAAGGAGAAAAAAACCAAAAATGATCTCCAGTGTCGGCTATATTATGTGTGTTTGTTATTCGTTTGCTTTGTATTTGAAATTGTACTTATTTTAATTTTTTATAGGATTTGAAGTGGCAAAAATATTAAAAAAAATAAATTTGGTTTTAATAAATTGAAAAAATAATATGAAAATAGATTAATGATAGTATATTAAGCCTTTTCAATAATTTTGTCTCAGACCTCAAAATTCCTTCACACAGCCCTTCTCAGATCCTAAATGTCGAAATTAGTTGAGGGGTTTGCTTTTATCCTAAATGTAAAACCTCAATTCACTTTGTCTTCTAAATTTATAATTTTTCTCCAAACTATCCCTACTGACTCCACATATTAAAGGAGGGTTACCGTTAATTGATGGGATGGTTTCCAATACCAGTGATTAAAGGGGGTATTTTAGGGATATCAACACACCTTTTATACAAGTAATTAACTAAATTAATTTTCTTAATCTCTATAAATTAATTAAATAGCTCTAATATTTTGGACGAAATGGGGTACTAAATAATTGTTGATTATTCCTTTCTCCGTGTAGGCATGAAGCAAAACTCATTGAAGAAATTATCGCACAAGTATGGGCAAAGGTGCAGTCTAAGTTACCATATTGTTTCAACCATGAGCTCGTTGGCATAGAGTCAAGAGTAGAAAAAGTGAGTGCACTTCTAAAGATTGGATTACGTGATGTTCGCTTCATAGGAATATGGGGCATGATAGGTATTGGAAAGACAACTCTTGCAAGAGTTATCTGTGAGAGACTATCTCACCAATTTGAAATTAGTTGTTTTCTTGCTAATGTAAGAGAAAACTTTGAAACCAAGGGTTTGGTTCCCTTGCAAAGAAAACTTCTTTCCGGACTCAAAATAAAAGACATGGATATTGATGATGCATATGAAGGAAAGAATAGAATAAGAAATTTGTTATGCAGCAAAATAGTTCTTGTTGTCTTGGATGATGCAAGTGAAATAAGCCAATTAGAGAAACTTTTTATTAAGAAAGCCTGGTTGGGTCCTGGGAGTAGAGTAATTGTAACAACTAAAGATATGCATGCATTGATAGGGCATGGAGAATTTGAAATTTATAAGGCTGCATTGTTAAGTGACTATGAATCTCTTCAACTGTTATGCAAGAGGACTTTTAAAAGGGATGAACCTATGGAAGGTTACTTGATGTTGTGTAAGAGCATCATTCACCATGCCCAGGGCCTTCCTTTAACTCTTGAAGTGTTGGGTTCTTATCTTTGTGGAAGAGGTGAACTTGAATGGAAAGAAGCTTTGGAGAAAATTAAAGGTTTCCGTTGAGCAATATTCTAATAAGACTTAGAATCAGTTATGATGCATTGAGTGATATGGAAAAGAAAATATTTTTAGATCTTGCATGTTTTTTTAAGGGAATGAAAAAAGATCAAGTAACACAAATATTTGAAATGTGTGGTATTTTCCCAATCCTTGGAATAAGAGAACTTGTTGAGAAATGCTTGATAACTGAATATTATTCTAACCATGGCAATTGTTTGGGCATGCATGATATCCTTCAAGAAATGGGTAGAAGTATTGTTTTGGAGGAATCCAAGGATGTTGGCAAAAGAAGCAGGATATGGTCACGAGAAGATATAGATCATGTAATATCTAAAAACAAAGTAAGCATATCATTGTTCTAGAGATGTATTAAATTTCTGTATTTATGTATATGCTAGATCTCTATTGATCAATATTATTTCTCATCCTTCATTATGATGTTGATGCTTTTTTCTAGGGATCTGATTTGATAGAAGTTATATATCTTCAATCATCTATACCATATAAAGCAAATTGGGGTTCTGAAGCATTCTCTAGTATGTGGAGTCTTAGAATACTAATCATCTTATGTAATGTGTATCTTCCTCATGGTCTCACATGTCTTCCTAGTTCATTGAAAATTCTTGAATGGCAAGCATATCCTTTGCAATCTCTTCCACACAGAGTTCATCTGTATCAACTTGTTCTCCTAAAAATGCATCATAGCAAGATCATACACCTTTGGTAAAGAACACAAGTAAGTTTTTTTTTTTTTTTACCAACCAAATATAGCTCAATATTGTTACATGTTTTTTAAAGATAATGCCCTACATTTGTATTGTTTTAGAGTAGATGTTAGAAAAGTTAAAGTGCATTGATTTGAGATACTCTAAGTATTTCATAAGAACTCTTGATTTTTTGATGCTTCCCAATCTTGAACAACTAGTTCTTGAAGGTTGCATAAAGCTTACTGAAGTTCACCCATCATTTGGACAACATAAAAAAACTTGTTGTATTGGACTTGAAAGACTGCAAGAATCTTAAGGCTCTTCCAAGTAGAATGGAAATGCATTCATTGGAGAAATTGATCCTTTATGGGTGCTTAAAAGTTAAAAACCTTCCACAATTTGGGCAAAAGCATGAATAGTTTATTGGTTCTTGATGTGAAAAATTGTCAAAACCTTGTTTGTCTTCCAAGCTCCACTTGTAATTTGAAATCCCTAAGAATTCTCAATATTTTTGATTGCTCAAAGTTCTCCTCATTACCTCAAAACATTGATGAAAATAAGTTTGTTCTCGTCAAACTAGATTGGCGTTTCCTCCACTAATCTCAAGTCTTGCATCATTGAAGGAATTGGATATAAGTGACTACAATCTCAAAATAATTCCAAATGCTCTTGGTTGCTTACCTTCATTGGAGGTCCTTGATTTGAGCAAAAACAATTTTGAAAACTTGCCTGATGGCAGTTGTGTTTTTCCACCTTCATTCTCAGGTCTAGCATCATTCAAGGCATTGAATATAAGTGACTGCAATCTTAAAACAATTCCAAATGTTCTTGGTGGCTTACCTTTATTGGAGTTCCTTGATTTGAGTGAAAATGATTTCAGCAACTTGCTTGATGGCAATTGTGTTCTTCCTCCTTCATTCTCATGTCTTTCCTCATTGAAGTTTTTGAAATTAATTAATTGTAATCTCCGTGATGGATCAATTCCTAAGGATCTTAGTTGCTTATCATCATTGAAGGAACTTGATCTAACTGGAAACAAAATTACCCATCTTCCTGCTCAATGTGTTGCTAATCTATCACTTCTGTCTACTCTTCATTTGAGCTATTGCCCAAAGCTTAAATATTTGTCAAATCTTCCGCCTAACCTATAGCATATATGTACAATTGCTTGTCATTCAATGCAAGCTATATCTTTCTCCGAGTTTGTATCCGTTTTGGACACATTTGGTCATGATTTTTGAAAATCTTTTCCTTCTAGGATTTCAAATCACATGGCTTACAAATGCTAGTGGACGTTGGAAAGTGATATCCCATCATGGTTCCATAATCAAAATTTCCAATTTCTTGATAAAGTTGATGGCTTTCAAGATAATCATGTTATTCAAATTTCTGAGAGCAAAATCTCATGCCAAGATTTTGATCGATGTATTTTGATTGATGGTTTTGAACCATCTGATTCCATTGTGTTAATAAAAGTAGACATCTCTCATGTTCGTGGCTTATGTGTAAGGTGGGGAATTTCTCTTTGCATTGTTCTACAAGATCTGGATCTTCCATCATCTAGTGAATATGTGTTCCATCGACAACTCAGGTTGGCTTATAAAGCTTCACAAGATGAACTCTTCAAAGGTGGAATATCTTGGGCAATTGCCATGGGAAACAATCCCCATCAAATGTTGATGATTTACTTTCTTAGTAGTAATTTCACAGTCGATAGTCACCAGTTGAATTCATATTTTATACACAAAAATATAAGTGTGCAAACATGGAAGCACAATGGGGAGGAAAATTTGATAAGCAAAATGAGAGTAGGTTTGTGATAAGCAAGTCTGGGTGGCATATGATAAGTGAAGATGTTGAAGAATGTCGCAGATCAATGAATGTATGCAGGACAAGTGGTAACAGTGAAATCTCTTCTCAACACTGTCTTTATGCTTATGGAAAGAGATCCCACCAAGTTGAAGAAGTGACAGAAGAAGACAGCACCATTGTTAACAAGGAAGCAGAAACATTTTCTGCTAAACGAAGAAAACTCTGATTTCTTTTCATAGGTAACTCACCATCATCCCTTTATTTTAATTTCTTCTCACTTTTTAATTTTTATATCAATGTTAGAGACATACTCGCCCATACATAAATAATTTTAATTAAAGTTGTTTGGGACTTTTGGGCCCTAAGAATTAGGGAAATGGAAGCAAGTTAAATTGACCCATTTGGAAATAGATTTTGATTTTCTTGCTATTGGAGCATTTGTGTCTAGTGATTAATATTTTCAATTGTTCAACCTTGTTCTGTTTTAGGGTGTGAAGTTGAAGAATTCCAAGCTGAATCATGAAAGCATTAAAGGAGCATGTCTTCGGTAAGAGAAGTTGTAGAAACTATAAGATAAATTGAGCTTGTCATATTTATTTTGCATTTGTATTGGGTCGTTTGTATTCTGGCCTTTAGTGTTTATTTCTGTTTCTTTACTTTCTTGCTTTTCTTCGCTGGTCTTTGTAGGCTATTGACACTATTATCGAATACTTCCAAAATTAATAAAATTAAATCTTGTAACAAAGTGCAACTTAAGTTGTTTCCCTAAAAGTGAATAGAGTAACTATTTAAATTATGATTATAAGAAAGTAAATAATAGGGGGGATTTTTTATGATGGAATTAATTTAAAAAAACTAAATTAAAATTAAATAAATAAAGGGAATTCAATTTAGAAAATTACCAAGAACAAACAGTACAATCAATCACAATTCAATTACCTAAATTTAATCTTTCTTTTCCACAAAATAAATTAATTTTATTTAACTTGCTTATTCTGGTTTCATTATACATTTATCAAATTACCATTCAAAAATTAAACAATAAATTAAGTTATAGATTAATTAAAATTTCCATTAACCCACAATCTAATAACTATTTTAAGTTAGCCACACTAGAAATAAAGCATGAATAATCATCCAAGCCAGGCTAAGTTACTCTTACGATGCTATATCAATCACCTATAGCAAGTAAAACCTTAGATAAAATTTATAACCCAAAAATTATGCAACAAAACTACTCTAATCAATAATAACGATTAAAGTATAAAATTTAGAAGTAAAGAGAAGAAGAGCAAATTAAAATAATGTTAAAATAAAATCTTCTTTGAATATTAAAAACTCTTATTAAAATTTAAAATTATATTTGTAATTGATTACAATAATAATTTAGCTCTTCATAAAATTAAAAATTAAATAACATGAGATGAGAATGGGAGAAGTCATCGCCTAAAAGAATTGGAGAATAGAATCGGAAGATGAAGAGCGATTGCCGTCAGTCCTTTTATCCGTGACGTGTGTGTTGCCTCCTCGCTGTGTATTTGCTTTATGTATATATGAAAAGTGATGCGTTGCTGCGTCACTCTTTCTTTCTTTCCAAGACACTGTCCTAAATAACCCTAGCCGAAAATTACACTAAAAAAACTTAAAATAAATATAAATAAATTTTTAAATATTTAATTCTTGATTTAATCTTCAAGCATGTTCATATTCTTCTTATCTAAAATATTCTCTATCAATATCTTTTAAATTAAATCTAAAAAATCTGCACAAATAAAATAAAATTAAATAACACCTGTGCAAAAATATTAAAGATATTATTTATATTTTAAAATTAAATATTTAGTTAGTTAAAATTCTAAAACTAAATATTAGCTAATAAAATTAAATAATATTTAATTAAATTCAATTAATCTCAAATAAATATTTAAAAATTTAAATTAAAAAATAAAAATATATAAATTTACCATTTATCAGCTATATAAATAGGTTCATTCGTTAGTCTAGCTTGGCTCAGTCTTGTTAGACACTATTTTTAATAATGATTATTGAGATATTATTCAGTATGTCAGGCCCATGATTCAACATGGTACCAGAGCTGGCCCTACATCCTGCCCCCTCAAAGATATCCAAAACGATACGTTTCTACATCGTCTCGCACATCGAGAAAATGCGACAATGATGGAAAGAGGAGGAGAAGGGGCATGCATAGTGGACAAGGTCGTGGTGATTTTGCCGATGAATGTTTAAACTGGCACAGAAAGGGACACAAAGTGATCAGTGTTATAACCTCATTGGGTTTCCTTCTCAGTTCCAAGGGACTCAAAACAAGCCTCAGGAAAAGCAAATTAGTCAAGTACATAATGAAATTTCTAATCTTATGGGTTCTAAATTAATGGTTGAGATAAAATTTTACAAATTGTTACTGATATAACTCGGGACATATTTTACATGCATGTAGAAGAAAATTGATGGAGGAAAGAGACTTGGAGCTTATCAAATTGCCGCATGACAAAACAAGGGACAATCATGGATATAAATGGATCCCACCATTGCAAGGGACACTCAGAATAGACGTTGATGCTTCGCTTATTCAATCTCAGAATTGTTCAGCCCGTGGTGGGTTAGTGCAAAACTCGAATGGCGAGTAGTTGAAAGGGTTTATTTGCAATCTAAGTCATCTCCCAATTACTATTGCAGAAATTAAAGCGATCAAATATGGTGTACAGCTGAGCCTAAGTTTGAATCCTGAATAGGCAGCCATTTATTCTGATTCTCGATGCCATCCTCTATGTCTATTGAGGAGTTCATGTTGCCCGTCCTTACTATGAGGATGTTTCTGAAGTACAAGAGATGATTTCTAACCATAGCAATCTTAAGCTTTTTTATGCCCCATGCGAGGTGATGGTCTGTGCTGATTTTTTGGCTCACATGGCTCACAATTCTTCATGTGGGCTGATGTTAATTCGTGATCCTCCCAAATAATGTGAACAGTTGTTAATGCTAGACTATAGTGAGGGTTTGTCTCACTGATCCCTTGGTTGCTGCTTTTGGTGTAACATTCTACTCTAGCTTTGGCTAGCCTTCCTAATGGGGGGAAAAAAAATAAAAAAGAACCCAGCTACCTCCACTGCCAATTCCCTCTCATTTTCTTTCTATTCCCTTTTGTTTCATCAATCACTACAACACAGTTGAGGAGATAAGAAAAGCTTAAAATCCTTTTGTTGCTTATAATAAAAGTTATGTTTTTGTCAGACAGAACCCATAATTAATAATAAAGTTTTATTAATGTGACCTAGAACAACCACTCTCGTTACTACTTTGGCTCATTGTCCACAAGAATTGACATTACAAGATGCGAGCAAAAGATAAATAGAAGACAGCCGTAAAAGAAGAGATGAAAGAACAAAAAGGTTGCATTTCAGAAAAAGATTTAGAGAAAAATATTTATCACGCTTGTCCGGTATTTGACATTTATTTTATCACGATCTAGTCAGAGGACGACACATGTTTATATAAGCGAGGCCAACCTTCACCCTAATTGATACTCTCTCCGGATCAAAATATAAAATATTAATAATTAGTTTATAATTTTTAAAAAATGTTAGTTAAAATTTAATTTTTTTAAGAAATTATATTTTTTCAATTACACCTTCATTAAATACTTTATATAAAAGTCTTGATAATAATAATTAAAATTCTAATGCATCATTTTTTTAAAAAAATAATAAATAAAATAGGGATATAGTTGAAAAAATAATAATAAAAGTTACTCGATGCCATTTATTTAAAGCCAAGCAAGACTTTTAAATTAGGGAGGAAATCACACAAGAACTGCTGAAAAATGTTATTCATAAACAAGGACTAATAAAGATTTGATTACTATTAAAATGCAACTTGTAATTAATTTTTATTTGTGAATAACATAATTCAGCGATCCTTGGATGCGGTTTTCCCTATAGTTATTAGGGCTGGAAGGACATGCCAAGCCGGTCTTCCCACCAAAAAAAAAAAAGTACATTTGATTAATTTTTTTTATGACTCCTAAGTATCCTTGAATTAATCTAGCGATTACCAAAAACATTTATTGGCAGTTAGTGTTGCTATTAGTTACAGGTTCGGGTTCAAATCTTCTTGATGTAAATAGTGGGGTTTTTAGCCTTGAAATTACCATTTTGCCCCATACAAAACTCACCCCGATATTTTTCCTAATTTTTGTTGTGTACTTTGTCAATCTATTGAAAGGAGCCAGCTCTTTGTTGTAGTTTTCAGTTGAAAAACTCTGTCGTAAAATTTTTGAAAAGTCGTATTTATAAAAAAAAATTCTGTCAAAATTTCTATA